TTTATAATCAAGTCGAAGGCAAGATATCTATTGAGTCTTTCGCAAACACATTCTTCTGACTTGAAAATATCATAAAAAAACCATTTTCAGTAGAGAAAATTCTTGGATACAAACAACAATTTTGTAATGATGAACTGGCAAAAATCCGGTTCTATCCGGCCCGGTTTAACTTCAAGTCCGGTCTTGTCCGGTCCGGTCTTGTCCGGTCTTGTCCGGTCCGGTCCGGTCCGGCCGGATCGGAGCCGGATTGCCGGACCGGTTCCAACTCTGAATGCTTGTATTCAGACATTTTTTGGCTTTCCTATTTTACTTCACTTGAATGTTATTTACTTTTTATCTTCCTCTTCTTTATATTCTTCATAAAAAGTTTAACATTTTACCTTTAATGAGTTATTCTAGATTTCTTTTCACCTAGCTATGTGACCTTAATAAAGATTATACTTAGGCCTTGTTTGGATTTCTGGTCTAGATGAAAAAAAACTGGGTTGTACGACCCATCTTATCTATTTTTCATCTAAATCGATAATACGCTGCGGTTCTCGAATAGCAAGCAGTCTCAGTGGTATAGTTTTTGTTCATTAATTTTCTACTGATCTTTCTATTAAACTGAACTTATCTTTCACTGAAATAACGATTTAAATTCGAAAAAAAATTGATTTTAATAAGCCTGAGTGTATGAAGTTATGTGGTAGAATAATGTTCTGTATCAGTTCATTTTTCTCACTGATAACAATTTTTGTAGCTCTTTCGTTGATAAATAATCAAAGTCATGAACTGAACTAAGTGAAAACAGCTAATGAAATTAGTCCCAATAGCTTAAGAACGGTCACAATAACGACGAAGTGCGATTAAGCATAAAATCTGAGACTTTATCAGAGTTTTAAAATATTCATTCAGTGAGATATAGGAAAAACCTGAAATAGCAGAACTATAGTTAACTGACAGCTTTCAGTAGGTTATCACGACATAGTGAGTAACATGTCTGTTCTTTGACGTCAACAATCCATGCAAGTAAAGGATAGTACCGTATTCGATCTTTTCTTGTCTGAATTCGTGTTTTCTGACTTGTATTGACTCTCTACTTGGTTTCTATAGCTATGAATTTTATTCTATCAAATAGTGCCAATTTCAATAAGGTTCATACGTCAAAAAAATAATGTTCTAGCCCAACATACTAGACTTTGAACCTTGTGCTGACAGTAAGCCTGTATAAGATTGGTTCGACACTTTAATTGCTTTGCTTGTTGCAGAACTCAATTCTCTCTAGAATAGTATTTATAAAAACAAGATTCATTAGATGAAAATGTGTTTTCGAGTTATCTTAACTGTAAGTGCGAAATGCATGTTTGTGCCATAAACTTAACAAATATTGGTATTGGAAACCCTATTGAGAGTTAATAAATGTTGAAATTCAATTTATTGATAAGGTATCGTTATCTTGTAAGAAAGCTTTGAACGTAAGACAAATTTTTTGTTCGTACACTTCTGCTGAATACTTCCACTGAGTAATCATGCGAACAACTCTATTATGCACATCAAATTCGTGATATACAATTTACTGTATCTGACTTTCAAGAGACGGGGACGCTTGATTCACTAACCAGTTCTAATTTATAATTAATACTTATGATGCTAAAAATTGTACGAAAGTATATTATCCGCGAATCCTTTCGAACGTTCGAATAAAAAAATGCTAAGGTGCAAAGTGGTGATAGTCTTGTTGAGTGATGTTATCCAAATGACTTTGTAAAGAGCTAGGATGTAAATGTTGCTGTGATTATTTAAGTTTTATTTTCATTCACAACCTCACTCGCACCATTTTATGAAATTCTTAGAGATGATGACATGACATGAATTCAAATATTTTATTTGCCATTATTTATTAAATCGATTTTCTAGCAATATAAAAAGCAATAAACATAAAACATATAATAAATTTTGAAAATTAATTATATGTAATCGAAATGCTCTGCTATACGTTTGTGCAACTACAGTATAAATGTAAACAGGTGTTGTATCAATACATCGAATTAATGTACTTGATGCATTATAAGTCGTAATTGGATCACAAGGTAAATTTTGTTGTATCGCATTTATAGTTGTATTTACTTCTTGAGTATTAACTGGACGTCGCGATGGATTTGTTTCTATATAAGATAATAAAAAAGAGTAATGAATTGAATTTAATAATAAATTTCACCTGGTAAAAATCCAAGTAGAATACAAATTCCAATAAGAAATCCCAATGATAAAAGTAAACATGTAAGCCAACAACAACATGGACAACTATAATACCATTCACAAAAATTACAATGTGGACAACGACGAGCACATTTTCCATGACACCATTTACAAAATTTATAAGATTTTGGTTTATATGTCTAATCAAAAAAAAAAGTGAAGATATTATTTCTCTTTGTTTTTTTTTTGTTTAGATAAAAACTTACACCATCAGCAAATGCTTCTTCATAATAATCTTCATCAGATATATAAACATCACGTTCAACATCAAGTGGAATAGTTTTATCTCGTTTTTTCCATTGTTTTCTTGGTGATGTACCACGATTAACAAGTGGAGTTTCAGATACAATAGCAACTGGTGTTTCAGCAAGTGTACGACGATTTTTCTTAGTAACAGGTACAATTACATCAGTATTGGAATCAGTATTTGTCGAAGTCGTAGCTATACGAACAATACGTGGTTCTTGTTGTCGTTGTTTTACTAATGAAACTGGTGGTGGAGATGATATTGATGAAGCTGAATCAGATTCTGTTGAAATTGGACTTCGTTCTCTAATAATACGTGTTGTTCTTGTATGAGGATAATAACGTTTAATATATGTAGTTGGTTTTGGAGATTTTACTTCAACAATACGTACAGTTGATGTTGGAGGTGTTGATTGACGTCGTCGAGATACATAAATTTTTGAATCAGGTGATGGAGATCGAACATGTGGAATTGATATATGATTATCGTAACCACGTGTATGTTTTTGATATACAGGTACTCGATAAACATGTAATGCTCGACCATCAGTAGTACTACTCGAAGATGCAGACATTCGATTTTATTTTAGTAAGAAATACTCTGAAATAGAGAAATAAAAACTCTAAACTGAATCGCTGACTCTACTACTAATTGTCGTCTCAAAAAGCTTATACTAAAATGTACTATAAGATCATAGGAAATCTTATGTAACAGTAAAATCATTCGAGAATCTTAAAGTATTTATAATTCTATTCATCTATCTTCTGACTTTGATTTATATTACCTATCAACCATATAAACCAATTTTTTTTTCTGTAACTATACAAATCGACAATGACAAACTCTTCAGACAGTAACTATACTATTATATATTAATATGGAGATATTTTTGTAATAAAATAAATCATTTGATCTCCTGCTGACTTTCTTTATTCATTTTTTTTTTATATATTTCGGAATAGAACAATTAAAAAAGAAAAAGAATTTCATCACAAAATAGTTGCATGATGTTTTTAAACGTTTAACTAAAATTTGATTTTTTTCTTTTTCATTGAAGTTTACTTTCAACAGTGCTAAACAACGTGAACAGTCAAGAATTTTCTGAGTAAATCTTTCTTTATGGTTATACAATAATAATAAAAATAGCTTTTCTTTTTGTAACTTTATTTTTTAATTCGTGTATAATTTGTCATAGAGAATCGATTTCTAATTAAACTTATAAGCTATTAAAAAAACATATTTCGTAACAAATATTTATACATAATGTTTCAGAATAATCGAGGATTCCGATATTAATTAAAAATCTTATGAATTGATTAACGTCATAAAAGTCTTTACAATTATTAGTTATTAAGAAATGAAAACTTCGTATTGAAATAAGACATGAAATCGACGTTTGTATTTGTTTCTACATTTAATGTAGTGATTAACGACATTCTTTACGATTTAGTGACACATCTAGAAATCATATATTTTAAATATGTAAATAGTTGATATTAAAAGATAGAACTACTTTTGAAAGTATCTAACATTTCTGATTTATGCCAATTTTCTATAGTATCTATGTTGCCAATTGAATTATACAGAATTTATTAACAAGTAAGAAACATTAAACAGGTAATTTCTGTTGATTTTGTATTTGATACCAGATCTCGCAATGAACCCGGCAATTCGATCTTTATTTTCTTTTTTTTTTTTTTGAAGGAAGATTTTTCAAGTAAGAAAACAGCAAAAAACATCTGATTTTTTTGTTTGTCAAAATTTTCTGTACACGTTGTTCACCTCGCAACTCACAGCGTTTAGGAATCTTTATTATACGAACGTTTTGAAAGTTTCCTTTAATTAATGAATCAAAGGAGAACATTTATAGAATTTAATAACATTTCTGATCCATACGTAAGGCTAAGTCTACTATTAATTACATTAAGTGGTATGAATGTGGTTACTGAAGTGAAACAGTTGAAATTAAAAATAGTAAACGATCTGACTCATTGAAATTGATTGGTAAGTATATTACTCATGAAAGCTTATAGTAATAAATTATAATCTTCAAGAAGTTAAAATATCCACTAACGTATTTTGCTCTTTCAATTCAATAAGTTATTCACCTTATCTCTCGTGTTATTTTTCAAGCATTAGAATAGTTCGATCTTATTTAACTTGTAATCAGTATGATAATAAACTTTTATAATGTTCTAATAAATAAATGTAATAATTGTAGCCTTTCATCTTGTAATGCTATTCTGAAATGAGTCGAGCCATCAAAAAATGATCTGATTAACATTCATCAGAGTCATAAAGATCAATTGTTTTTTTTTTGATACTCTTCGTTAGTAAGATATTTGAAATTTAGTTTAACTTATATTATTATGTGCTTGTAAATACATTTCTTTAAAAAACAAAACAGCTTTAAAAGATTAAGAGAATCTATTTTATTACTGAATACATACAATAAATTATTATTGTAATTTCTACTTATATATATTGTTAGTTTATAAGAAGAAAATTCATTTTAAAAACAAAATAAATAAATAAATATTAGAATTAAAATAAGAATAACATTTAGTTGAAAACTAAAATAAAATCGTCGAGGTTTATGTCCTGTTTCAGCAATTATTTTTCGTTCATCATGTATATCTTTAAGACGTTCAGGACGATATACTCCAAAATATTCTGATATCCAATTACTAGTTCTATGTAATGCTAAACCCATATCATTCAAATAAATATCTAGTGGTGCTATCCAATAATATTTATAATCATGTTCACTTCGATTAAATAATTTTTTAATAAATATATTATGTGTTTTAATTTCTTCATACATTTGTTCTTCAGAATTTGGTAATTTAAGTCGTTTAAGAAAATAATCTGATACCCAATGACTGGTTACTTCAGCAATCATCCAATAACCTACAGATGATATAAAACCAATAAATGCTATATTAGGTATTCCAACAGGTATAATTCGACGATAAAGATTAAGTGTAATATCTTCATTACATGTTGTTAAACCCATCATTTTAATATGTTCTTTAGAAAAAAATGGAAATCGTAGAATATATCCTGTTGCTGATATAATCATATCAGCTTGTAATTTTTCTCCTGAATCTAAACGAACTGTTGTTTCATCAATAATTTCATCAATTATTCCTAATTTACCAATAATACGATTTTCATGTTTAAGTCGAATAAAATCATTAGGTATAACTGAAATATTTTCTATATTTCGATATGAATGTTGAGGAATAAATATTTTATCATCAAATAGATCAGAACCATGAATAGATATTATATCATTTGATATATTATTACACATTATTGTAAATATTTTTGGAAATTTTTCATGAAGAAAACGAAATAAATTTCCATATGGTGCATTAGGAACTGGAATAAATGGAATAGAAAATGCACGAGTAAATAATATTCGTATTGGTACTAGACCACCGATAATTTTTCGTGGAAGCATCCAATGAGCTTTTCGAAAAACTAAATAACATAAACGAGCATAGTGACCAGCTAAAACTGCCATATCTGTTGCACATTTACCAGCACCAACTATTATTACACGTTTATTTACTAATTGTTTATGTGATTTAATATCACATGGAAATAAAATTGAACCAACAAATTGATTTTGACCACGATAAATTGGTGTATATGGTTCTGAAAAGAGTCCAGTAGCTACAATAACAAAATCAAATTCATGTGTTTCTTGTTTGCCATTAATTGTTTCAATTTGAATAATCCAAGGAATTTTATCATTTTTTAAATCATTTTTAGAAATTGATATAACTCGAGTTTGAAATCGAATTCGTTCAGTAATATGAAATAGATCAGCATATTTTTGTAAATAATCATGAATATGTTGCCAAGAAGCATATTCTTAAATTAAAAATATATACAAAATCTGATTGCAAAAAAAAAAATATTTATAAATAATATAAAATTCATTTTTACCTTCTCCATCAAATAGATCAGAAAATTCCATTGTTCCTCCTGGTTGTTGACTATGTAAATTTGCATATGCTATTTTTGAAGACCAAATACCACCTAATTCTTCTTGTTGTTCGAAAAGTATTACATTGAAACCATCATCTAATAATACTTTAGCACATACTAAACCACAAGCGCCGGCACCAATAATAGCTACTGTTTTTGATTTCAACATAGTTTTTTAAATTATATTTAACTATTAAAATCGATAGATTTTCTTTTTTTTTCTATTATATTCAACTGTATAATCAATCAAGCATGTATTGATATTATATTTTAGCCAATATAAATTATATATTTTTCTACGTTCTTTACCATAACAGAAAGGAAAAGTAAGCTGAAACGATATATTATGGTTGAATGCACAAATATAAGTGAGTATATCATGTCTGACAATAAAAATAAAATCGCGCAAAAAAATGTGTCATGATGGTGAATAAGCAAAACAAAATAAGATTCAATCGTGACTAATTATATAATAATGGATGTTAGCACTCTCATTCAATGACGTAGAATGAATGATGTCGTAAGCATATGTTCGTAAGCATTATTGATCATTCAGTATTCTATTGTTAATAAAAAA